GATCAATGTTTTTGGCATCAACGGAAATTTTTCAATATAATGCCCAGTGAACCGGTGAACTGGTGAATATTCCAAGTCAATGGGGTCAGTCTACAGGCTAACAGGTTGATAGGTGGCGGATAATCAAGCATCTTGTAATTGGGTCGGAACCCAACAGTCAAAATTCACGTAGCTGACGCTGACCCAAACAGCATTTCACGTGAGCTCCCAAGGCAAATAGTGTACTACGCGTCATACGCTATTCCGGATCTGATCTAGCGCGGTCTGGCGGAACCATGCCAAGTGACGGGCGACCGTACGCGCGGGCGCGTGCTTGATGTGGGTAAACACGTAAACATACCCAGAAGCGCGTAGACTATATCACGAATTGTACTCATGTTAATGCCCCGTCGTCAGGGCAATCTTTAGGAAACTTCTGGCACGACACTAGTCGAATGAGCTGATCTGCATTACTCTATTGCGGCGACTATTACATCTTCCTGGCCTGGGACTGCCATGTTCAGGATACCTTGACAGAGATGGCCAAACAGGTCCTAATCCGTCCGTGTACAGTACATATGGACAATAGCGACAATGTACCAACGTAGAAGCCAATGTGACCTCATACATGACCTCATACGCGATTTCTGTTGTGGCTAGATATATATATGTAAGTGTGTGGATGGTGTCCTTTAGAGCAGCTGCGCTACTAGCTCTGCGACATATATATTTGTGGCCGGTTGCCCTCTCCATAGCCGGGCCAGCCAATATATCCTTATTGCACTACAGTTGTGCTACAGAGTACAATGATCATAGACTGTAGCAGCGCAATTACCTACAGTTAGAGTCTCAATTAATGCATACATCATCCAGGAAGGCTGGAAGGGTAGATGGTAACGTTACAAGCTGGACTATTATAAGCAGCTCCGTACACGCGGTTGCAAACATGGTGCAAGAGCGTTAAAGCCTTTCCAGTTAATCGGGCCGATTTCCGCGACGCCTAAGCAGCGCGTCTTCTCCAAAGCTACCATTGGATCCTTGGATTTTGCCACCGACAAGCGGGTCATTCCCTTTCATGGTCTAGCGCCATGGTAGGGTAGAACAGAGAGTCTCAGGGAGTTGCGCACCGTCTGTGCGATCGCGTTTAGAAAGACACTGTTATCGCAAATATAGAAGGCAGGGACAGGCAGCCCCTGGGATCCCCATCGGCGGGAAAGGGACAGCTAGATGAAAGTACTGTACCCTTGGTCTAGTGTGTGCGATTACATGTTGATCAATCCAATTGCTTTGTCATCCAGTACACAACCAACGCCCTTTGAGTTCATATGATCTAGTAGAGGCTTTTCACACGTATAAACGCACCCCTTCCATGCCGATGGTCCACGCCCGCCGCGGCTCCAGAGTGAAGACAGGCCCTTGTGGGTGGTCCGCAGCTGATTTGTCAGCATAGCCGACGCATGCCGCCCGGCAGCTGGGACATGTGACTCTCACCAACTGCGTCTCCTGAGCTTGGCTTTCATATGTCCGTTTCACATACTCTTCAAGGCAAGCCCGATGGAAGACGTGCCCGCAGAGAACTGCCACCAGGCTATCTACATGGCTTTCAAGGCAGAATACGCAGGTGAACGGACGAGACCCAGGCCGGGTAGATGAAGTATGGCTGCACTCTCCACTGCAACTGTTCTGTGGGTCCTGAAGAGTTGTCGACCTCTTCGTGAGCAGTCGGCTGCCGAGCCTGGTAGCATCCGTGGTCGTCAGACCCTCCAGGGCTCCTGAAGGTGCTGTAGAATGGGCGGTGTCTGTATAACTTGGTGGTATGACTACCTGGACTGTAGCCGGAGAGTCATTGTGTTCTGGTCGCGCGCGGTCGTCCGGCTCGCTGTGAAGAGACAGTGGGCGGAGTTCATGGTCGTGTGAGATCCGTGACGGTTGACGCTTTGGGCCTATGCTCACCGTCAGCACCATCGACAACGTTATCAGAATGCTGCTTACCGGAGGAGAGCTTTCCCCTCCCTTTCTTCGAAACCCGCATGATACCGTATCTTGGGGAAATGCGTACAGCCCAGTGGTGCCAATTATTCAGGAAAACATTCACGGCGGCGCAGTGCCTCCGCAAACTCGGAGCAGAGATCTTCTACTCTAGGTGGTACCTGAACGTAAGGCTATTTATGCCGTATTCCTGGATCCACTGGTCGGGACTGTAGTTTTCGCGCAAGCATCTATAGTTGAAGTGCTAGACCAGACCCACACACGACGCCGTGGCTTGTACATCCCAGGATGGGGTGTACGGAACAGGCATCCCCTACATCTACGGGAAAGGCTATAAAGGGGGCCCATCCGACTCGTGCCCGACTACTCTCAAGATCTAAATCCGGACATACAGTATCATGGATGCTACGTGGGCTCAGGTATGCAGACTTGTTCGTTTCGATTCGAACCTTATACTCACCTTTCTAGTATTTGAGAGTTAAGACTGCAGAGATCCTATTACTTCTGCGCATTCATTCAAACCAATTTTCGTGTTTTGTTCTTGTGGTGAAGGGTGTTCTGTTGTACCTAAACCCGCTGTACCCTGGGCTAATCCGGAATGTGACCCTCGTTGGAATCAGTATATGTCTGGTTCTCTACCTTGTCCGCAACGACCGATGTATCGACCAGTCGGTCCTATCTCGTGCAGACGGTGTGGTGCTCGCTGGGTTCTACATTGTCACGGGTCTTGTCAGTCTAGTAAACTGGCTATGCCCCGGAATCCTACCCGAACCGAGAGTCGCCACCGAGGCGACGATGATAACGGTATATTTATCATGGATGGTACAGCGGCGGATGATGTGTACTGCGCTCTGTGCTGCCAGTCATGGCTCCCCAACAATCTGCAAACAACTGCCTTCTTTGTGACGCCTGCCTGGTCCTTGTGTCGCGCCTCTGCATCTATATTTCTGGTGTCGGCAATACATACTGTATCCCGCTGCAGCACATTGTCAGTTTTCTTTAAGACAAGCAAAAGCAGTACTACGATACTATACTGTACCTAGGGTCTTGTGCATACCATTCTCTACTCACGAACTTCATACTTCGAGTGCGATGGTACGTTTGGATTAGCGGGCAGGTACTATGAAGACTTCCTGAGACTCGGAATGTAAGTAGCTGAGCTATAGTATCTTTTACTAGGTGCTGGAATAGTGTGCTATGTTTGAGCCGTACTCAAGAGATGAAGGCCTTGGAAAGCCTTTCCTGGTATACCGTATCCTGAGACTGGGGTTTGACTTTCTCATGTGGAAGACGACCTACAGAGGAGCCAGAAAGTGGATACCATATTATTCATACAATGGGTTGTTTTCGAACCCTAAATGCCAATACATGCTACTCCAATACTATGTTAGCACATGGAGGAATGTAAATGAATTCTATGTTGTTATGGCGAGGCTGGGTATGCCCCAGGACACAGGACCAACGAAAAGCCATTCATCACGTGGCCACTAGCTATTTGATGGACGGTAAACCCGCAGAAATATCTTCGTTTGCCATTACCCCACACGGCTCGTATACGTCCAGGATTTGGATATAGCAACTCTGTCGGTTCCAATATGAATTCAGCGACAGTTTATCCTGGAGGGGGTTTTTTTGGGTATTTTGATACGATGAACGCATTGATGCTCCGTCAGCAGATTCTAGGTACTTAATGCTGGGCCCGGGTTGGGTGGACCAGAAGTTAACAGAGAGTCAATCAAAGCGAATGCGAGAGTAGTATTTCCGGACATCTCTGAAATCGAACTCATAACTGGGAGGGAAACAGTCGAAAAGGAGGGTGATTACGGTCTGTTATCCATCACTTACCCCTCTAATGATGCTAACCTCTTCCAGCGAAAACTCACTACTATGCGTATATAACTTGTCCAAAAGAATCCAGCGGTTCCTTTGATGTCCTCGCTAGGAGCGAATCTAAAGAACGGAAAGGTGCACTGTTTGACTTACTGGAGCTTCTGGAGAGGAAGACATTCGCCATCATGGAGAACGTCTGTGCCGCAAAGGAATCCTGAGAAATGCACAATTGGGCCATGCGTTACTCAACGATGAGGCCCACTAGGGATATGGGTTAGGCGCTAGAGCCAACAGTTTATAAGCACGGTTCTTGGACTTACATGATCTTTCAGGTTCCTTTGTTACCATCTGTAGTTAGTAAGATCCATCCTGAGATTGTCGAGTGAGCTGAAAGCGTTTCACGGTGGGGCGCTGAGGTAGCAGTTGTCCGGTACGGTTGACGAAGGTATTGTAAAACTTATGTGGATTATCAATCCTTGCCTACCAACTTGGCTTTATTCGATCTGGAGTTACTAAACTCTCCGTAGTATAATGGCCGCAAGGTATATAAAAGGGAAGAAAGGCATCTCGCTTAGCGGGCTAGCATCCAACCTTTGAGTGTTCTCAGGATGCCGATTCTGGGCTTTTGGATCTAAGATACCATAATCTTACGGACGTAACATTACCGGTACAGAACTAACCGGTTATGTGCCAGCGAGCCCTTGACAGGCTAGCATACCACCTGGTTAGGGCTCGAACACAACTCGTCTAAGAATTTGGAATGCCTATTCGGGCTCCTCTGATACGTAATGTACCCGTATTAACGTTACTGAGTGCTTCGGAATGTGACTAATCCTGGACTAGTAGGCGTCTGACATATAATCTAGTACTGGAACGGTTCAAGACTGCAATGCGGGCCGTAGCACGGATACGTACTATATTGGCAGTTGGTGATAGAGAATCCTTCGTGATGCAGTGCAGTATAGATTGCCACCGCCCGGCTGCAAATGTCCATCGACTTCTGTGGTTGTTATAAAGGTCCTAAGATCGGTAGTGGAAATGTATCTGCGCCAGACAGCAGGACTATGATGGGACAACACCGGAAGCCCTCTCAAGCTATGTGTTGTGCAACTGCTGCGCGGCGCGCGATCTCCCATGGTCCAAGGTGCCACACCAGGGCTTCGATATCGCGCTCGGGAAGACGTGTTTTCTCGCTTACGTGAGCCCAAAGCTCCGACTTGTATCTGTACAAGGCACGAGGATCAGCTCGCCAAGTCAACCGTGTCTGGGGAATGACGGCTCACGCACTGCTGGTACCAGTACGCTATGCTGTTCTTCCAGTTCTCGTTCCACTCAGGCCGGTGTCGGAGGAAGGCGTACCGGCATTCGCATGCCTTGGGAGTACGGCCAGGTAAATACTGACTAATCTGTTCCCACCTCTCTCCATGATCGTGCATGGCAATGACAGTGGCATCCTCATCCAGGGCCCAAGCTGTTGGTGGGCCCTGTCCGGGAGGTTTCGGGAATGCCCGAGCCAAGCTATTCAGCTTTGCCCGTCCACTGGCTCGCCTGATGGGTGGATCTCCTGCAGAGTCCGCCACATTGTTGATTTTGTCAGTTGGGGCAGCTTCAGGATCGAGGCTGTTCGATTCCATGCTGTCCACTGCACTAGGCGGGGGAGCTTTGGCGGGGTCGCTCAACAGGCACGACACTCTCGGGGGATTGGTAGCAGCAGTGATCGAAGGCCCTGTTGCCACATTCGATCTTGTGGGGTAGCGGCTGCCCGTGCTCTTCGGGTGCATTGATGTCTATCGATATATCTTGATTCAGCCCTGATTGAACTCTTTGGCTTACAGATTAATAGTAGCGAAGATGATGAGATCCTTGTGAACAGGCTGGGAGGGCAGCGTTATATAATAGGGATTGATTGTGTTACTGTGAAAACTAGAACAGTTTCCGCAATTCCCCTAACCTATACATCGTAGGATTTGAACCGCCAGAGCAGTGGTTTTACATGGAGCATCTGCTCACGTATTCTGCCCATGATGAACCAGGTGAACTTTGATACATGCCAGCTTGGAGAGTTTGGAGATTGTCCTTGGATTGCTACTGTACTAAGAGTAGAACAGAGAAGGCGCTTCTTGACTCGATCTACTCCACCATAATGGACGGATCGCGTCGAATGCCTACTATGACTGTACATACTGCCAGTCTCAACTGGAAAACTGCTTATGGACCGATCGAGGATGTACTGTAAGCAGACCAGTGCTACGACCAAAACTAACTGGAATAAATACTGTATAGAATGTCCATGTCGGCCACTGACTCTGCCATATGAGAAAAGGGTCAGGGTGGTACCAAGCTGCCTCAAGGGAGACGGCGGTTGGACTGTCCTAGAGGATAGCCACAGGTCTAATCCACATTGGTAAGATAACCAGGCGCAAACTAACCATACCCAGCCACATAGTAAACTATAACCTCTGACCGGCCAAGATCAATATCGCATTCCAATGGCGAGTCTAAACTGGGCTCATGTCATTCTAATCAATTCGGGACCTATCACGAGCGATACGCTATATACCCTCGGGAATCCACAATAGCCGAAAAAACTGACCCACCACCTTCCATGCAGACCGTTGTGATGTATTATGTAATCAAACGTACTTGGCACAAGGAAAATCATAAAGATCAGACGGGGACTGTTACAGCACAGCCCACGGTTCCTCCGTTCGCATATTGGGCTGGCAGGCTGGAACAAAGCCATGACACATATACAAACGCCTTTTGGGCACGAGTCCAAGCTAGGACGTTAGGTATCATATAGTACCTGAAACAGATGGGGAACAGGGCGGTGGAATTTATGCTGGTTCAGATGACCTAATTCTTCCATTGTTCTGCAGATAATCACCTGCGGGCATACTGTGCAGTGACTTACGCGGCAAGTTACTTTGAAGGCGGCATACTCAACAGCAATAGCTGTCGGGTTGTATGCCTCCCTTCAGCCATGTGCAAGAACAGTGTACCTGTAACTGGTTCAGTGGGATTCAAGTATTACTGTAAGGACTACCAGGTAGAACGCCCCCTGGCTAGATCTTCCAGCAAATAAGCCCTGAGAAAGCCACAGCCGTAATTCCTCAGAACGCAATTTCAGTGGTCGGTAGCCAGTGAGGGCATCGCTCGATTCGTAGATTTAGCGACCGATATAAATAGGTATACGGATATTTTCTTGTTTTCCATAATGTCACTAGGAATACTTTCGTGATCGGGAATTCCTTAAAAGTATATGAGCCTATAAATACCGGCTGCCCCGCTCCTACTCTTTGGACGGCTGGCTCATCTCTCGCTTTGCTGGCATCAATCATTCGAAACCCCTATTAAAAATGCTTCACGCGAGCCACCTAGTCATCCTGCCGTTTGTGGTCGTTCTCTACGTTCCGGTTGTTTGGGCATGGATCCAGGTAGGCGAGCGTCTAGGCGGTAACGACCAAGGACGTCACTAAGCAAGTAACAGAGCTTGCAGATTATGGACGTTATTCACGGTCTACCAGAGGGCCAGCCAGGATATATGCGCAATTTCAGTATGTTTTCGGATGAGACTGCAGCCATTATAGACACTGAGGCAACTAGCTCCGGGCACAAGCGGGACCAACCCCATCCTCGACGATAGGCCACAGGCCCTGGTTTGCGGAGACAATCAACGCGTGCCGCTCCAGCAGCGCCAATGGCCTCGACTTGAGGCACTGCCGGGCTCGTTGATATGTCCGCGCTATGCGCCAGACACGTGGCACAATCGTTCCGCTGTGGGGGAGATTCACTGGTACGGCGCAAACCTCCGCGAAGTGCCTGATCAAACCACACTGGCCGAGCTTCGAAGGTCCCCCCTGCAGGCGGGCGATAAAAGCAGGGTGGGAGATCACCACAGCTCTGCTGTGGATGCCCAGACAGCAGACCTGGCAGAATATGCGTTCCCGTCTGACGCCGGTTCGGAATGTCAGCACGCGTTCCAGGTCCCAGCCCAGGCCACTGATCTTTTCACGGTGTATTGGATGTGGAATACGACCCAAAGACATCGTGACGGCTTTTTGGTATGACTTATAATGATCTAACCCCACACCTGCATCTGCACTCATACGGACTCCGGAACACTCGTGATAGATATACATAACCTGCTTCGATATCCACATTATCCCTGAACACGAATCTGACCAGCTCCCAACATCGAAGTTCTATTCCACCAGCCATCCAAGACCAGGCCAGACGAGCGCCACGCCACATACTGTACATAAGACGATCGAGAATCCCAGTGCGAGCATGAATCAGGGCGGTCTGGGACCGTCTTCCTCGGCTGCTGACTGGACCGGCAGGGTCAATTCAGCAACTTGCTCTGCGAGCCCTGTAGGCAGACGGGCGGATTGACTGTGGTCTCGCATGTGCTAATGCTTCAGCAGGGGTTGTTCTGCTCGCCCGCTAGTCCGACTCTGCCTAGTGCCACCGCCGCAGGGACAGGTTCCCTGTCAACAAGACCAGCGGATACACCTACGATGTCCAGCGCCCTAGCAATGATAGCATCAGCAACACGGCTTCCAAACCCGGTTGGCTCTGACTCGTGGCTCCGTGTACATACCACATCGACGTCTCCTTCGCGTTCTCGGAGCCCACAGGACCTTACTGTTTTGGACACACTGGCTACTGTAACAGAGAGCGATGCTCCCTCGACGGCCGCCCCTGATACGGAGACAGTGGAAAAATCTTCGACATCCACGACGCTCCTTACAGCATCCACGAGCTCCAGAGACGACATAGGCTCTGCGTCTGATACAGACCCTTCTCAAGTCCGTGCCACTGCCACCAACAACGTTGGTTGGGGCAGCATTGTCGAATCCAGCTACAAGACCATTGGTTATTGTTCTTTTACGGAGCGCTGTGGGCATCCGGATATTTCCTCATCTTCTCTCCAATCGGCCTGTGAGGCCCTTGTCAAGGATGGGTATGTGGGATGGTTCCCTCCAGAACGGTGGCTGTGGCTAACCTCTAGTTCCAGGTGCGCTAACCCCTCTGTCGAGAGTAACGACTTCTTCGGGTCGTTTGAGTTCACCGCCAAGAACCAATTGGCCTCCTGCACGGACTCGGCACCTTTGACCATCAAGGGTTGCCAGGATGGTTTCAGAGATGCGGCAAGCTATGTTGACAGCCAACTAGCACGGAGCGGTGACCTTGCTTGCGCAGGCTTCGTCAACATAGTAAATGCCGCAGGCGATGAAGCAGGGGCCGTTATAGTGAGCGGCAAATGCATGCCTGATTTTCCCGCATAACCGCGGGCTAAGGACCGTGTACACGTGCCGGGTCTTGCTCAGTTATCTATTATACGGTGCTCTTGATTCTGTGGATTCGCTTTAACAATAGATGAGCCAAGCTCCTGCAATGTGGCTATCATAGTCAAGGCAACCCTGACACGGGTCCGGGTCTTACTACTGTAACCGTCTGTAATATTTCCTAGTTCGGAGCCTAGTCAGGGCTGCCTCTTAACACCAGTGTATGTTGCCGTGGAACGATACAAAACTTTAAACATGTACATATCATTCTAAGCCAGAGTAGAGGGAGCCGAAGTGCGAGCTTGAAGGGCGGGCTGGAGCGCTGGACCGCCCCGTGACATACCACATACAACATACCAGGAACGAGAGGGACCATGCCGGGAAACCCGCTCGTAGCCATCGACTAAATCTCCATTTCCGGCGCCAGTGCGCTCCACAGTGAACATCGATCCGCTTGCTGCGGCGGGATTGGCTCCATCGCGGTAGTGTTCGTCTGTATCTTGAGCCGTTGCCCCAGGCCGGGCTTCCACGCTTCCCAGCGCGGTGCTTGGCTACGCCTGCGAGGGTTCGGATCCAGTGCCTTCACGAAACTGATCCAATAATCCATCACGGTGGCGACCGCATTCGCGTTGATCCCGTTGTAGCTCGTGATCTCGCTATTACCGGCGAAGCCGACTCCGAAAATGGCGCTCAGCTCGAAGATATGCGGCACACCCAGGCCTTCATCGACCAGCTCGGGGGCTCGCACGTTGTATCGGTAGCTCCAAACCCTGCCGGACGGGAGGTGATCTGCCATGGACGCTGCGACGCGATTGCCCGGGCACGTAAAGGCAGCGTCACCATAGGCGGCAGATGCGGACGGGAAATAGGCTGCATGATCCGCCACGGGTCGCATGCGAGGATATGCATCACCGATGGCGGCCAGGCTGGCAGATGATAGCCCTGGGTAGTTGGCGTTGAGAAACCGTGACATGTCAGACGCGTCGCTGGCGTTATAAGCAAAGGTCGACCCCTCGTTGGTGTCGTCACCAACGAGCACGGGAATTTTCACGGTCTTGCCCTGATCGAAAAGCCGAGACAACTGGTCTTGCACCACCGCACCGTCAATGACGGGCAGAAAATACCACAGCGGGGGCGGATCCACGGCGGCGTCTGGAAATGGGTCCACCACGTTGCCCTGCTGTATCGCTGCCAGGTCCGCAGACTGAAGACACGCCAAGGCAGACGATGCATCCGAGCAGCCGACGCGCTGTACAAACCGTGTGTACTGGAATTCCATCTCGGCAACCGTGCGCAGTGTGGGCCAGAATGGAGACTCCAGCACCGCACCGGCAAAGAGTCCCTCCGCTCGGCCGCCATACGCGGTCATATGATGCGTCACCGAACCCGCGCCGGCGGAATCACCATGAGCGATAATGTGGTCCGGGTCGCCCCCGAACTACAACCGAGCAGGTCAGCGCCTGCGCTATAGCAGTTCGGACCGTGACCTACCTGGCTAATATGCTGCTTGACCCATGCGAGGGCCTTTCGCTGGTCTAGCAATCCCACGTTCAGGTCTCCATCCCGCCGGATCTCCTCGCTGGCCAGGAATCCCAGGGCCCCGACACGGTAGTTGAAGTTGACGAACACGAGGTCGTAGCCCGAATGTTGAATGACGTTCGTCCCGTTGAAGTTGGCGTTGGCGTTGGATGCATAACCGCCGCCCTGAATGTGCACCCACACCGGCAGTCTGGAGAGGGTGGTTGCGTGGGAGGGGGTGAACACGTTGATGAACAGACAGTCTTCCCCCACAAGCGGGCTTATCTCCTCTCCGACGCCGATGCAGGTTGGCCCAAACTACGCCGCCGCCCAGTCTGTCAATACGCGCCTTGATGGGATTGCGATGGAGGGTCGCCTACCTCGAATGCATCCTGAATGGATGATGTGCTGCTCGGATCCCCTGGTGCACGGAACCTTTGCTGGCCTAGGGGAGGTGCTGCGTACCTCATCCCAAGATATTCATCCACCCCGGCAGGCAGTCGAACCCCGCGGTAGCGAGCATAGCCCAGATCGACCTGGGGAGAGCCGTCCACGCTGACCGCGCAGGCCCCCAGGAGAATGACCAGAGAATATTCCCAATGCATCAGAAGCGTAGAGCGAGAACTGCGCAACTATTGTCTGCTACGATGATGCCCCTGTGCACGGCCATTACTGAGCCCCTTCCCTATCCACGTGACCATCGATAGCAGCCAGAGGCGCAGACCTGCTCCGGTCGGCAACCGCGTCACGGGACTAGAAGTCAAGCATTCCTGCCAAGGCGGGTGGAAAAGAACCTGGTGGCTTGGTGGCTGTACGTGGGAGTGATTTTGCTTCCGTAACCCAACGACTGGTTAGCGCTCTGCCTGATCCTGTCCAGACAAACGCAAAGTGGCATTCAGTTGCATGACGCGTACATTTGCTTCTAGACTTGCCCCCCCTCCACAACGAGTTTGCACACAATGCGCGATAATTTCTCCCCGCCACAGAGGGTCATACTCGACCGGCAAGGCAAATCCGTCCATCACTATGGAGTTGTCTCTGGGATAGATCGCCAAGAATGACTGCGTCGATCGGGTCCCACTTGCGGAAAAAGCTTGCAACACTGCTTGGATTATGGTTGGCTGTAGAAGATAGATCTTACGGCCGAAAATGGTTACGGGGCGTCCCATCATCCGTTTCGGCGGATCGCTCCACCGACGCTTGTCGGTTTGCCGCTTTGGGCCAAGCTCCACCGGTGACCTTGGGAGTTGGATCTGATCGAGAGGTGCAAAAGCCTTACCACATCCGGAAAATCTCCCAGAACCCACCTGCAGGGTCCTAGTCGGCTGTGGGATTGGGCGCGCCGTAGATTGATGACTGCAATACATACCTTCCGGGACATTGCCCGGACCAGCCTGGAACAGTCCATATGCTCCAGCTGCTCGATTCTGTTGTGGTGCTGCTCGCTCACCGCTAGGAGTTACTATTGTCTCAGGCTCGAATAAGACAAGCCTGCTCCCCCGTGCTTGGACAGTGCTGATCGCGGGAGAGTCCCAATCAAATGCGCTTGTCGTGATCATGTCGTCGGGATCCAATGTACAGCTTGAACAGAAACAGTACCTGCTCCCGTACTTTGAATCTAGCGTCGCGGTTTTGAGCACGATCGGTGTCTGCCTAACCGGAATTAGTCTTTGGGCCATTGCGATCACCCGTTTCAGTCCTCTACACGCGGTCCCGTTGTGCACATCAATCGCCTGTGCGGTCGCAAACGGCCTCTGCTACTATGCTTTCTATACAACCAGTGCACCGCTACCCGAGGCCATCGCTAGCGTCTTCGCAGATATCTTCTGGTTGGTAAGTCCGTGCTCCGGCGAGTGACCGGCCCGGGCGTTGGGGGCGGGAAGCGAGAGCTGACCCAAGCCTGCAGCTCCAGGAAGCGGGGTTGCCGCTGTACAGCTATCAGATCCTGGTGCACATGCTCCATGGACGCGCACGGTGTTTCTACAAGAGCACCTTCTGGACCGCGCTCGGCATGGTGGTGGTCATACGCGTCGCGATCGCCACCATGCGCGCGATCCAGATCCTCGACGGGTCGGTGCCGCTGACCAGGGCGATCAACTTCCTTCATATCGGTTACTTTAGCTCGATTGCCATCGCCGAAACATACAGCTCCGTCTTGCTGATCGGATTCCTTCGGAAGGCGTATCAGACGGCGCTGATCGTTTCCTCCATGCGACCGGTTTTGAGGTATCTGTTATGGTCGACTGAGATACGCCTCTCGGGCCTCTGTCTGGTCGGCATTGTGCGCGCTGCGACGTACCCATTCCAGCTTGTTGAGCAGCATGCCGTGAATATCCCTAACCAAATTGACCGTTTTGTCTACTCCCTGGAGTGTCTATTTCCCGTACTTCTGATGTGAGTGGGTTCGCCCCTCAGCCATCGAACCTTGGCTTACCTACCTTGCTGCCAGCATTGACATTGTTGTTCCAAAGGACCGAGGAGCTGGTGAATTACATAAGATTATCTCGGTCTCCTCTCGAGATGTGCACCACGCTAGACGTTCTCTGCCCTCCCCGCTGGATAGCTGGTCTTCAGCCCCACCGGTGCCGGATAAACAATGTACCAAAGGTATCACAACACCCGAGTCGACTGACCTGACAGTCAGCTGCCGGTGCCATGATACGCAGCCCCGCCAACAAGTCTGATGAAAGATGCGTGATCTTTCGTAGCCTTGACAAGCTACAATATGACCGACAGTGGCTATGAGCACCCTGCAAACCACCAAAGCTCATGGAGCGGGATCTGGACGACAGGGAGATGGTAGTCTGAAATTATTGAGTCCTCGTCGCGTAGAGAGCCTATGATAGTAGCTGAATATTCCATGATACGGTCGCGAGCACCAGTCAGGCGGCGTCTTTCGTGAAAGTGACCATGGTCATTGAAACGCTATGGTAAACAAAAACTGTTAGTGGCGAACAGCAAGACCAGAGGCTTGATACTCAGCCTGCGGGGACGAGAAAGCTGAACGGCCCGTTGATCTTCTATTGACAATCGGCTGTAAGCGACCAACGATCTTGAAGAGTGTCCGACAAGATCGCTCAACAGCCATAACAGTCATATGGGAAATTTACCCTTCAGCACCACACACTTTTCACCAATCGGGGATTGGGCTCTATGATATATTAGATGGCCTTCAACATATCCCAAGTTTACTCTCCATAGAGTATTTTCTGTACTGTTCGCGAAATTGGAGCGTTGATGATTGGTCTGCCTAGGTGGACGATACTCAACAGTACGTGGGTAGTTTTGCTCCTTAGGCTTCATATCTCAATAAGATTTCATAGTCCTGCACCTGTTACCTAATTAAACCACTGCTTAACACCGGTGATTGTTCTTCTAAGCCGTAGGATCCGACAAGGAACTTTGCAAGGGTATTATCTACACCCAAGAACTGTTTCCCATGCTTCTATTCTAAGAAGGCAAGTAGGCCCAAGATTGTTGCAATGTTTGCATACAGAGATAGCATGGCCCGTTCCCACACTTGGCGCTTGTGTACAAGCGTGTCTCAAGAGTCAGCACGAACAGGCCAAGAGCTTTCGTACAATAATCTATTCTTAGTGAGTCTGGCCGATTGCAGAGCCCTGGATGGAAATCCAAGTTCTCAACCGATAGCCATGGATAGCTCTTTACTATTTTCTGATGATCACACCAGTAGGCTCTCCCGGGCCAAGGTTTCAGGCTTGATTGAGTGTGTTCCCCTACATCATCTGATACTAATGCAAGTAACATGCAGCATATAGTCTAATCACAATTCAAGCGGCAAGTATGAAATAGCCCAGAATGGCCAAGCGGCCACAGTATCTGTGCAAACAATGACATAGATATGAGGAAGTAGCAGAGAATATCCAGGCAGCTGACCCATGGCCTCTACATAGCGGAAGGTGATACATACCAGAATACAAGAGCCTGGAATGTCGTGGATAGCATACGTAGGAGAATCTGTAAATATAAATGAGGCCTTGTGCTTTGCTACTTAGCCATCTCAACCTTCCAGGAGTGCAGGGCTCTGGGACATCAAGTAATACGCAACTGCACCCGATAAAGGATTGCAATGGTAAGTGGACTGCATGTTCCTAATGAAAACCTCGAGCTTCTGCTATGGCAGTAACTTAACATAATGTAGGACCACATGCAACCCGCATCCAGGGACATCAATGAGTTCGTAACGCTCTCGCCAAGGTTCGGAACTGCTATTAGCTGACACGGGTGCAGGCCCTTTCTGGAATACCACTTGCAGCAATATTTTCCGCCCTCCTGTGCTGCATTCCTTTTGCAACGGTTGCTCAGATGCCGAACAGAGGAACCACTCCCAGTGTCAGTCCCAGAGACTATTTGCACCATGTCCGACTCCTCATCGGTGCCCACAGTCTGTCTTCGTTCCTCACCGGACTCGGCGTTCGGCTGTGGCTATTTGGCCCGGCCAGTCCAACCATGGCCCCTGAAACCGAGCCTGTAGGCCGCCTGGCGGACTCACTCCACGCGCTAATCCGGGGCACAGATGCTGAAGGAAGTAGCGAAGCGAGGGAGATGGCATTGATACAGCTCTGCCGGAAGGTTTGGTCGGCTTTGCCGGCATCGAACATCTGGCAGTGCCTATCACCCGAGGCTTCCGATACACTGAGGCAGGCATATCAGTTTCTCGCAGTCTGTTCATATCCCATGGAGGCACAAGCAGACCTTCCATGGCCAGAGCTCGATGCTTACTGCCATTCCCGATGCCGTGGGGCCTCTCATGAGGCAGCGCTGGTTAGTGCATATCCTCTGCAAACAAGCACACGACTCGTACTCAGTGACATCGAGTGCCTCCTTCTGCGAACCCATTCGACTTGTGTCCACCATCCATCCGGCATTCTAATCCTGTCTCATCTCCGATCACTCCTCTCAAATCTCACTAACGTGGTCGTTTATCTTTCGAGAGCTTGGTTGGACCGCAGTTTGGAGAGTCAAGATCCCATTTTCCTGGCACCTAGGCTCTACTGGGTTGGCGGAGCCTTCCTAATGACACAGAACTATGCTGACCTGGTCCATACTGGGAAGCAGTCAGCGTGGTGGCCTTTTGTCGCCATGCTGCAATGCCTCGCTCATGAAATCAACCTTTCAATACAGACTCTTGACGCGTTCCCGGCATCATCTCCACCTAGGCGTCTTCCTCGGATGGACACCCCGCTGTCACAGTCACTGAATGAAGTGCATACCAATTTTATTCTGGTGTCCCTTGTGGAGTGGATTGGCCGGACACACCCTCATTAGCTAGTGTCTTATGTGTAACTCCCGGTTATATTATTGGGGTTCACTGGAGGAATGAGAGTCTCACCGCCATGCTCTGCGCGCTGGCAAACCAGACCCTATGAAGCTATTCTGCGTTGCTTGTAAGCATCTGCTGGAGAGCGATTTATGATAGCTTGGGTAAACCAGACTGGGAAACAAGATACCTTTGAGTTATGTTCTACTAGTGTGTAAGGTATGAAATATCTTTGCAGCTTTAGGGAAGATGTAATTTTGCTTGAGCAATCTGTTAATGCTATTCAGTCCACTAGGCTCCAGAGACTTGACACATAAGCAGTTTCATATCACTAGCACTCTTGACTGGAAGAATACGAGCCGATTCAGCAGAGCAGGATGTTGTTGGGGGCTTCACTCATGCATGGGCCATTCTGAAGCAGTGATAGTAGCAGTGCCGGCCGAAATCTGGAAACCTCAAAAGCCTCGCTACTTAAGCTTAGCAGAGACTATGCACAGCTTGCATGTCTTTATATCGCTGGATCGAGCCCACCATAACCAAGAATCGTCTACAATTTCCTGGTATGTTGGCCTGGAGTTGTTGCAGCGTCAAGGATGAGACTAATATGAATACAGTTCAGTATCTTCGGTAGATGGTATTGGCGGAGAAAATGGACGTTACAATGGTGCTCAAGAAGGAACCATCGTTTAAGCATAGAGCCGACGTCACCCTTGGGGAGGCTAATGCGCGCTTTCCAGCGAGCTGTACTGCTAGCTGAGAAATTCAATTTGGCAAGGATGTCGCTGCACAGTAGCAGTGGCCTATCGATTCCCTAAGCAACACATGAGTGCAGTGATTGTTGCTTCGCACTATCCTACCTTCCATACAGTACCAGTCCCTGGTCCATGACTCCAGCTGGTTCATGTCTTTGCCAGCCGGCTTTAGCATTGGAACAGCACACGGCTTCTCAATTTCCTCACTGGCCGCTCCTACTCACCGCCTTTCCCCTTTACCCGCCTGTTCACCCGTCAGTACTACTTACGGACGAGTATCACTTCGTATTCTGGAATTATGGCTCACGCATGTAAGTTCAGTATGCAGATTTCCTTGCAGATTTTTTTCTTCAGGCCCAGACTAATCGACCGATGCGTTGCGAATGAACCCGAGGCAGCTGCATTGCATGAACAGCGAAATCCGAGATGATCCGGTGCCTGTTTGCTCTGTTTGTTTGTCTCTTCTATATATCCGGCCGAGTCGCTTGTCTGTTCTCTTAGCTGATCTCCGCTTTCAATACTTTGATAGACCACTATATACAAGACACATCCAAAAGCTCACAAATATTTTCAAGACTTGTAAGCTTGTTGACCCTCTCCTGTATCATATCTACATTAGTCATGGTCACATCGACACGAGAAAGGATTAACATAGACGATCTTCTCGACCCCGCCCATGCCAACGATGGAGAGAAGTTCTGCGACAATCGAAGGTCAGATGCTTGCAGTGAATGCTTTGCTACTTCTCACTGAGATAGAGTATAGACCGTCGCGTCGCTTTTCTGGCAAGACCGAAAAAGATACAATCACACACAAGATTCAACCTGGGTCGAGAGGGGAGAGAATGCTGCCTCGCAAGATTTATGTTTGTCCCATGGTAGGATGCTCCAAAATCTTTCCAACTTATGCCAAGAAAATGAATCATTTTCGCCGGAGGCACCTTCCCAGTGCGACCGAGGACCGTCCTAAGGCACAGTTTTACAATCCACCTAGCCTCGAAAGTCACCAAGCAGCGACCAAAGGCTGCCAGAATAGCCACAGCTGGAATCGTGTTCGCGTGAGTTACCCAAGGCTACTGTCAGTACCACTACCGTCCAATCCTATTGACAACTATTCGTGGTCTACAGAGGGACAGTGGTCAGCATATATTGGAGCCTCATGATTCAAAGCGCCAACCGGAAAAAAAGGGATAAGTGCAGCATATCCCAAGAGATTGAGGATATCTTGCCTTCTGGATTCCGCTTAGCTTTCAGCAGCGCTGGAAGATGAAAGCAATAACCAGTGATTACTGTTTTTAGCTTCATTAGGGGTGGAATTAACGCCGCAGGCTCTTGGGGGCGAAGAAAGAAGAGCTGGACTCTAATAACTTTGTGATTACCGTTCATACAGTATGAATCTCACGCTCCAGCCATGCGGTCATACAGCCATCGCTTTTAGCGCTATGCTTGGTCAAATGTTTTGTCTGCTTCATGGCGCTCATCGAAATATGCACTACAATCGAGTACTTTGGCCTGCTCCAGGCGTTGCATGTGCTTAATGTGTCTGGCGGGAAAGGTAGTTATCATACCTGCTACCTTTTGCACATGAAAGGATTTACCTGCGCAGACTACGGTCACAACCATCGTCTGTTGTGTGCATTCCATGGATTGGGAATGGCCCACAGCTACCTTATCCCGATCCTAGGACTTTTCATTGGCGGGAAAAACACAACGGTCGAGTACTTCTTTCGGCTTGTAGTATACAATAGAAATTATATTCCAGAGGCCGAGCTATAACATGTAAGCCATGACACCAGCACCCCTGGTACGTTGATCGACTTGTCTGTAAAAGCGGCCTGCAACATATAACATGGGTGTCACTAAATCACCTGAGCCTCTTACGAATAATCTGGCAAAACTTTTGGTAAGCTTCCAGTGTCTATTCGACATCCATTCCAATTAAGATACAACAGACGAAAGGTAGTTTATACAACCTGCCCAAGCAGATCATTTGCCACATATGTAACCGCTGGCCACTGTTGAAGCAGTACTAGAGCCAAGGAGTGGAAAGGCTGGTATCCACTTCTGTGAAATCGTATATAAACGCACCAATGCTGAAACGGTCGTCCAATTCTCGATAAATCTTTCGCCGCTGGCTCAAGGGGTTCGACCATATGGCACCTATAGCTTCTTCATCCAATGCCAGCCCCAGCCGCCCACAGGATACCAACAGTCTGGTCCTTGAAGGCTGGGGGCAAGGTTTCATGGTAGGATCCCTAGCCGTGATGACTGTGATTACCGCAGCGAATATGAAGTCAAAGAAGGTCATTCATAAATTCATTATCATTGAGGTAAAGTATCTCATCCACCTGTGAATGATGAGCTTATCCTGAAATCTTTAGTTGCTGCTAGCTGCTTTCCACGGAACATTCATCTTTCTGCATGAACCAGCATATGGCTGGTACTTATCCGCCAGCGCTGTTAGTCTGAATGTATCGGCAGCTTTACACAATCTTATTGCCTGGATGAAGGCTCGATCGTTCTTTAATATTTGGGGCAGTCGGTTCTATCTAGCAACCTTGCTGCTAGCACAGGTATACTGGATCCTGGAGGGCTATGCAAACTTCGCCTTCTTCAACTACAATAAACCACTCTTCATAACAACTAGATATTTTGAGCCCTTGTTCCGGTAGGCCCGCTCTCGGCTGCAGCCCCCATGTTAGACTCGCTTGTTCTGCTGTGCTAACTGTGCGGACGAAGGGATCCCTGGTGGATCATCGCGACCTGCTTGCTGTTTTACAATATTAAGCATGCATATCGATGTACCTTTTGTGACCTAATTCGCACGAGTCCCCGATTCGGCATCATGATATTCCTGCTGGTCATCTCCGTGCTTCTGACTATTGTGGATAGTTTTGACGTCCTCGGTGCAGTCCACCTCGCCATTCCGACTGGCGTGGAACCTATTTGGAAGGTGTGCTCCGCTTATTAACATTAACAAAGCCTGTTCTGCTCACTGACACTCGTGGTGTAAGTTTGCTCTTGTGTCCAAATACCTGTGTGACACAGTCATTCTAGATGACTTCAAGTCTACCCTGGATCGGGTAAGCGCGGCTTTCTTCTCCAATCTTCTCCAGTCAGAGAGCACCCCCTTTCACCCCCGAGGACCTAATGGAGAGGCTCCAACTCGACCCGACTGTATTCACGTCACACACGAAATCCGCACACTAAGCGAGTCGCCATAATATCATGGTAATGGCTCCTGGCGGCGAACAACTCTGATGGCTCCTGCCATCTTGAGGTTAAAGGAAATCAAAAAGCAGGCATTATTCTTGTGGGATTCATTACCATTACGAATATTTCGTGGGATACTGTTCGGAGCACGAGAAGTTAGCTTTGTTCATAAGCAAAAGATAGTTAACTAGTTAACCAACTAATCCAGTGTTCATGTAAGTGTGCCAACAAGCACAGTTCGTTAAGAGATGGTTAGCGGGTGACGCGTAGTAAGCTAAGCCTATTACGGTCATGCGGTGGCTTCAGTGGGGACACGACGGCACCTGCCTGGGAAGCATATCTACCGGGGTAAAGATAACGGGAGACATACCCGACGGGAGAATCCAGAATTCTCCTGATACATACGGCACCGTAGGTACGGCGGGCATTGCGGTCATCGCGCAAAGGTGAACACCAAGAATTAGCATTTGCCCCATGGCTGCTAATTGCCCTATCTGTGGTCAGCAAGTCATCATCAAGGATGTGATGGAAACAAACACAGTTCAGTGCCACGCAGGCGATCTTGGTTGACCATTGAGTCCTGCGCTACTGGTAACATTGCAAACTTCTTTTCTATTTGGATCAATTGGAATGCTGTTTCCCATGGAGAGTACGCTTGATTTAATCGAGTTCTGCTATGAGGGGAGGCTGCTTCGGTTACTACTTATTGCCCGTTGCTGATGCGAGAGTTGTGGTTGATGACGGATATACACAATGCATGCAACATACAATCTGGGTCTGTCCTCATTAAACGCAGGCCATATCAGTGAATTTCCGTTTGTGTCAGTTAAGTGTGAAAAAAGCGTCTGCAAGTCGTTGGCTGCTGTCTTCAATACAATATAGCAGTGATAGATATGTACAATATGACGTTTAGCGCAATGTTTAGCAAAAAAGCACCATTTATTGTTATTATGATTATACAATATATCTTCTATTGTATAGACATATATCTGGTGTGCAAGATAGTTATACTTTGCTTTGTTATTGGAAACCAGGGCAGAGCTTCATTTGGACGAATATTGTGTGCTAATCTCATCTAAGTAGGAGGTCTCAATAGAGTTCTAATCACGTATGATACGCGCATCTTATATGTCTCCTACGGCAAAGCTTGTGGCAGATGCTGTATCTCCAGTTTGAGGGTGATCTGCCATTTGGACTACGGTGATGTTTCAGGAGTTGGCGTATGCGAGTCGATTGAGGAGCTGCAGGAGATGATTTGCACCACAGCGTCATCTAGTTCAGGCTTTGTTTGGATGGGTGAAATTTGTGGCATCTGAGCTTGGGCAGCTTTTCCAATCCCTCCCCAGCCTGTGCAATCGTACGCTTTTCGAGGTTCACGATCGGTAGTACGGGCTGGCGGGAGGCGATACGCAGGGATAGCACCATGGGAGAAACGAGTGCGGACCGATACTCAGGAATTCCTCGAGACAGAAACCGAAGCAGGCGGATGCATGCAATTTGCAGTAAGTACTCCGGCACGGAACAATATAAGGAGCAATCCAGAAGCAGCCACCACGAAAGCCTTGCCGGAGGACGTAGGGAGACACGCCAGACGAGTGAATGTAGTATTCTCAGGAAAATATATCTATCAGCTGTATATTTGATTGTTGTAGAAAGAAGTAAGCATACTGGCTTAACTCAGGACCGGCATGGCCAGCTTGAATGGGTATCTCTACCAGACTAATATCGCGTGATTAGATTAGTATGCATGTAAAGATATGAGGAATATTATAAAGTATTCTTTTCCTTTTGAGATTCATAAATGGACAAGGTTTAAACCCGAGTGTGACAGGCGGTCCTGTGGCGTAGACTCATGTCGTCGCTGATCATTTAATTTGTTCTGTCAGCCGCAGCTTCCCCAAAATGTGACGTATTCATTAGGTGTATTGAGCCGACATGAACATGGCATTAACATTAGGTCGATCAGCGCCATTTATCATCCCGAGGCAATGACTTATAGTCCCTCCTATATGAATGACGATTCACAATTTCAGCAAACCGAACCATGGAACAGAACCTTCGAATATGCCCCTACCCCCGGTAACTGGGGTCGCTCACCCACGCACTACTTCATTTATATATATATAACCGTTTGTTTCGCGAACAACACCATAAATCTTTGAGGGATGTTAGGTGAAACCTCCAAATTGATATTGACTATGGTCTAATAGATGAGAAACAGGCAACTGGGTTACAGGGTCCAGTTGGTTCCTTCGGCTGCAAGCATCCCTAGATACCATATTCCCATTAGCACAGTAAGCTGACCATGGCCTCCAGCTGTCCAGGGAATCGCCGAAGAGACAGCTAAACGGCCGTTTGTATCGATACGTTTGATTGCAACCAGTTCGGTATTAGTAAGCACAAACCCATGGCGCGCTTTGTGTTGGCCCATATAGAAATTCACCTGCGCCAGGACCTGCTTGTACTGTTCTTGAAAGAAGGCGTTCTGCGAATGCCGGTAGTCAGAACGCCATTTCCACGAGACCTTCATGTCTCCTGGGGCTCGGTTCGTGCTGTCGGCGTAGGTCCCCCCCACGACGACGAATGCAGTGTCTGGTCGAAACTGGTCGACGTACGCTGCAGAGCCTCCGCCGTCAAATGTGATCGGCACAAGGTTCAGTTGCTGGAGCCGGGGTGCTAGTTCCTCAAACCCGGCTCGAAGTGCGCGCCTAACACGCGGTTGAAGCAGCTCGGCAAATCGAAGGTGGAAATGAGGCTCATCTCTGATAGCGGCAGGAGGGGACCTGAAAGGATCGGACACGATCTGCTTTGAGTTCAAAATGCCGCCGTATCGTTGAATAATTGTTGCATAATTGAACTCTGGCCAATCGACGACCTGAGAGATGTCCCCCGCACCATAGCGGGGGTTCGTTGTATTCCGCGATGGGGCAGCACCTTGAATAGGAATTGCCGGGAGGGCAACAGAGAGATACTGCAGAAGAGACTGGTTGCTCATATTGTAGTGGTGCTGTATCACACCTGGTGAATAGGACTTAGAAGCAACGGCTCCACGTGGTAGATACCTATTGGTAGCTGATCGTCGAAATAGACAAGAGGAATGGGAACAGAGAATCAAAATGGAAGGCTTGGGGGAAAAGGAAGTGGATATATAGGGAATGAATCTCCAATGTTACATTTCTATTTGATGGGGAAGCAATGTTGAGGGGTTAGCACGTAGGTTGATTGGTGTGGTTGCACAATAGTAAGCGCTCACTTGAGGTGCATATCTTAGCAAAAGCAGAGTGAAAGAAAGCGCTCACTGGAACGTTGGATCAGGACCATGATCGATAGGACCAGAAGCACCCGTATTCTCATTCAGAGTCACAGCGGGCGCTTACATGCAGCCAATGAAACAAGTCCCACTTTGAGATTCCCACCGGCGGCAATGTAGTGGATCTGATTCGCAAGATCCAGCGGTTGGGCCTCTCGCGATCCATAACTAGCAAATTATTCAAAACCATTTAACTTACGTAATCCCGCTATTATTAACCACGACCTGTCCACTTTTTGTTTTCTGACCTGCTCCGACCTCCTTGATAGAAATATGACTTCTCTTAGGACAACAATGCACCTAAGAAGCGCTCTCTTTGAAGAACATGGACATCTCTAATATCAATATTATCAGGCAGATTACGTGCTCTGATTCGTCTGCAATATTCGAGGCAGAGCTGGATGGACAAAAGTATGCATTGAAGCTTTTCCACGACAACGGCGACCCTGGTTATACCGAAAATGGTCGTGATTTGAACAGATTTCGCTGCGAGTTAAATGCTTACAAGAAGCTTCTGGCTTCTGGTGCCTGTGCACGCGGTTTCGTGCCAAAATTCTACGGCTACATCAATCGGATGGATCCCGCAGCATTTCAGCCTGCTTTACAATCTTTCGCCCGAGACAAGCTATGGCCGAGAGCAATATTGCTAGAATATTTCCCAAATGCAGAGAGTTTGAACTGCGTGAACTACTCGGATGCGCTCTATCCCCAGGCAATTGAGGGCATGCATGAGATACACAGGGCGGGTGTTCACCATCGAGACATCTACCCCAAAAACCTTCTCCTTGTCCGTGGAAACCCCGACAGGCTGGTCTGGATTGACTTTGATGTTGCAACGACCTTCACCGATTTTGAACCTGAACAGCTGGCCCGCTGCGACCACGAAATTGCGCTTGTGAAGGGATTTGCGGAAGCTCTGGTATGGGTTTCGTTGCTGTCTACATTGGAATCATTTAGTGTGCTAACTACCGAATACAGAGAGATGACCAGGCTGAGGGACTCCCGCCGAATACAAAATTCTATTAAGGGTTCCATAGGTGGTTATATATCGTGACAATGTTTGGTAGCATTTACGCTTGCTTTCTTGTAACAGATATCAGTCGGGGCGGAGTTTCAAGCAAGGGCCGTTTTGGTTTATTTTACTCCTTTGTACAACCATGAATCATCATCTATATTTCCAAGAGCCGTTCTCGAAGCCAATTGGATCCTACCTTAGCTAGACCATTTGCGCTGCAATCCTCGTCTAAAATAATTTCCGCCAAAACGCCGGGCATGTCTCCGAAGCAGGTAGATTCTCCACAAGCAAAACCGGTATACAGTAAATAAATATGGGCAATCAGCATTGCCATTATCATTCTAAGGGAAACACTGTGATTTCTGTCGTACATTTGTGACCATAGAGGCAGTGAAGGCGGTTGTTGAATTGCAGCATGGCGATCTCGGAGCTCTGCGAACGCCAAGGCTAGGATGTTGATTCTGAGGGCTAAGACATTTATGTATATTGAGGAGTCAATTGAGGTTTGTGTCAGAGACAACAGAGGAGTGTCCAGGGATGGTCAATAAATAGTTGGCATCAAAAAACGATATGATTTTCCACCTGCTGCACAGTGATTGGTTGATCATTATCAAAACAGTTCTGTCGAAACTTGGAGACGGTGATCCGGAACGGGTTAGCACCCATCGGAATTATTTCCGGGGGTGAAGTCGCAAGAGTGCAGGTATAACTGATTTCGAAATTACTGTACCCTGCATTTCCTTAAGGCTGTGCCAGTTCGGAGGGCTTCAGGAAATGACTAAGTTGCTGAATTACATGATCTCTATCGATTCAGCCTGACTAAAGGTTTTGATTTTCTAACTATGCGATACAGCTCGTGTATATGCAAACTCTTGAGCTTCAAAAATGATCAATTATTTCATCATAGGAGGTAATTATATTGAATTAATGATAATCGATCCTTTCGGCTTGAGCAAGGCGATGAAATGCCGGCTTAGTCAACTCCCGCGGCCACATCTTCGAAAAAGTTGGGCACCAGGATACGTGATGCACATAACGTAGGAGTCGCAGCCTAACATGTAGTTATTCTGCCAAAGCAGCAAGGAGGCAATTTGGTGTTTCAGAGGCAGGAGGGATCAGGGTAAGTGGTCTCTGTGTCTCTTCTTGTGCTAACAGGCAGACGTACCGCATTATCTTCTGGCCGCGGCTGGCGTCCTTCGGTCGGTAGCGGCAAGGCTCAACGGGGCTGGAAATTTGACCCCTGGGGAGCCGCGCATTTTGCCCCTTCACCCCATGTTACACTACTCCACCTTTTTAGCATATCATGGCGGGGTGATCAGCGACAGGTTGCTTATCGAATAACAGATAGGTTGGTAAGGAGCAAGGACGCCGAAGCGCTCGCGGTATCGCTTTTAGACATGGCTTTCGGCTGGGTACCGGTGCGAGGACAAAAGTACGTAACACTCCTGCACAGACCCTCCCACTGCATTAGCGCATGCAGCAGGATCACAAGTAGCCCAAACTATCCTCCGGCCCCAACCTATAGCCGTTGTGATGATGATCTCGAAGTGATTTTTATTGATAGCCTGGACGAGAGTGACCTAAAGCAAGATGGATGGTTAAATCCCCTGTCAGAGGCAAACGACCCTTGATCTTAATTCCACATTTGGGAAAGATTCCGACGATGCGGTATTTTTGAATTATAATCCGTCAGTACACCACGCTTGGAATTAATTTCAGCATCATTCTAGTGGGATACATATGCGCGTGGTTTTGAGGCTTCTACTACGCCGACTTAGTCCCACCAACTCGCTAACCTTGGCATGTTTTGTTTGAACATGCTATTTTGATACTGCTTTGCATGAATGAACGATGTTTATGATAGAAAATGCTGATGTATTAGCAATCTCATAGTCGATCTATTATCTATTTAATATCAGAACTTCAGTTTCTTCGGCTTTCAACGTCCTTTGCCAAGCTTTTTCAGACTCACAAAGAAATACTTTTGCCGTCCTGGGAACACTTCCTAACGGTTCTTATATCATTAATTTCAATCATCTAGAGTTTCATATAAAAAGCCAAGAAGATATTTACCATATAGGTACTGGTCAATATTGGCATAAAACACCAAAGAGTATTTTTGGGGGCAGGCTCATTTCGCAGATCACTGTAGGACATTTACTGGAAGGATCTATGTATGGGCTTGATTGATTTAGTATGATAGACTATATACATTACGACCTGTGTTTATCAATCGGTGATAATTGTTCTTTCTGCTTAGCTGTTGCGCGTTAATGAATAATGTGTGCGTGGACTCACTGGGTTGCCCCCAATCCAGTTGATGATCCTGTCACAAGCGGGAGCAAGCGCTGAGGTGTCGTGTGCAGAATATATCGTGGGAAACATGGTAAAACCAGGAAAACACGCATAACACTCGGTTCTAAAATATCAGGGCATTTGTTCCTCCTGTGAACCCTGTATCACCTTTGATTCTGTGTGTATTCGGACCGCCGAGAGACAAAGAAGAAGCTGTGTCACATGCCGAAAAGACAGAGACTAGGCCTTACGCTGCCGCGGTAGATCTGAACGGCGATCCGCTTGACCAACAGTTGCACAGGAATCACCGCATGGCAGTAAACCCGCACAGTCAAATGATATAGATAGGTATAATAGTTGAGTCCTGTGTAGTAGCACCTCAGAATAGAAATTCAACCAGATTTAACGTTAGTAAGGCGGACGTGCCAAGAAAAAAATCATCGATGACGACGCACGGCCAATAAGGAGTTACGGTAGGAACTGTGATATTTTTTTGTGATCCCGGAGCATTAATAGCAGTTAGGGGCTACGGAAGTCATTGCGTAGGGTGCTCAGTACTATAAAGGTTTACTGTTTTTTAGAACGAAGTACGTATCTAGCAAGCGGCAGTCCCGTTGAACTGATAGGGGACAGAAGACCGTGAAGTATACAATCCAAGACCGGATAGGCACCGAATACAGTAGAGAATTTGGACAATGTAAAGCTAAGAGAGTCGCTGTGTAAATCAAGCCAAATATTGGTCGATAGGACTTCAGGGTGCACTATCACATCTTGGCACCTCATTCTCCTTGTCGGGCTTCACCAAACGCGTTAACAGAAGGTCCAGCCAAGGACCTAATCCCACACAAGCTTTGCTATTCATGGACAACAGCACACTATTGTAGTCGGATACTATGGACCAAAGTTCGACAGGGCTAGCAACAAGTGCTACAGCACGAGCAAAGTTCTGTGCGTGTTAGGCAATGATCCACACGCTCAGCTGATATCAGACTTACCATGACTTTTGTTTGGCTACCAAAATACCATTGTCTTTGTTCTGGTTCATGCTCGCTTTGGTAAGAGACATACTTCTTGCCACTTGAAACATCCGAGAATATACTGAACAGTTCTACCATTTGTTCGTTATCTGAATGTATGAGTGTTACATTGATCGCTGTGCCAGTCCCTGTGATGTATGACTCCACGGGGTGGCCATTTGATATGGAGGCTCTATGAAGAAGGGCGTGAAAATTCTGTCCTCGTGAGATTTACTTGCAGTTCCACAGCGGAATAATACATACCAGAGCCATGTCTACGGATTCAAAAGTATAGGATTTCCCACCAGATGGCACCGTTTCTGAATCCTTGTCTTCGATCATTTCTGGTGGCCTCACCAAAGCGGTCATGAAGTCCAGCCAGAGGGCCAACTTTGATTCGAGGTTGCCCTCGCAAGTGACTTCAACAAAAGGAGGTCTGGTATGTATCCTAATGGAGCCTCCAAGTAGCTCGCGTTCCGCGGCAACGCCTAAAGCACGTGCAAAGTCCTGTGCCGGTTAGGGGAGATAGATGGTTCCCAAGAGCATCTACCTTACCGTGACATATGAATTGTGTTTGAATCGGAGTGCTCGAGTGGTGGCAGCACCGCATCTCTGTTCTTCTTTCCTCCGCCATTTGTTGTCATTTGTAACGGCGTTGATCTGGTGCCACACACGTTCATCATTGCTCAAAACGCCCGCGATTATATCACATATCAAGGCCATATTATGATCACGTCTCGAAAGGCCTTTACTAGGTTGATGAGTCGTCCACACAGCCGACGCAACTTCTCCTGTCTGTAGGTTGGGTTTTCAGCACGTATTTCGAAAAGTGAGACGTCACATTTACCAGCGTGAGGACGGCATGATGATGGTGTGTTATAGAACTCGCACTGACAAGTGTATAAAAGTCCTGAATTGTTAACCGAGAGGCGGGTATACGAAGGCATCGGAGTGCAACTCACTAAGGCGTTGTCAGTGGACATGAAAGCAAAGTCCTTTGTGATGCCATCATTGGTTTCGGTTAAATTCCACCCGTTCTGCAGCAGATGCTGAATATCTCCCGTGAGCTCTTTCTTAGCTTCGCTGCCAACCACATCGCAGCAAAATGTCCATAGCGGTGGTGGAGCCATAATTTTACATGTAGGAGTGGATGGTCTCGCTGGAAAGTGATTCAGGGGATAGGAGATGATGTGAGGGCGGGGTAACTGTATTATGTGAGCCGACAGGTGGGGTCGGTCTTGGCGAGTGTTGTTGGATCGGTGGCCACCCGGCTTTTTGGTGCAATTTCTCAGAAACATAGTCAAACCAAGATTTCTGGATTGTCGGTAGCCAATAATTAGGAGGGGAGTTCTCCAGAAAGGTCTTTGCTTTCATGAACGCGCTATAGCCCGAGTCCCTATCTCCTAATTCAAGACATGCCCAGGCCATGGAAAGTTGACAAATTCCCGCCGCAAAGCCTTCGTCCTCAAAATCGGGGTATTTCTCCACCAGTGCTAACGCCGCGACCCATTCACGATAACCATCCTCAAATCTGGAGGTGAAACAATGTAGACGAGCACGCGCAAACTGACACCGTACGTGCATGAATTGGTCAGTTATATCTTTGTTTTCCTTGTGGAAGTCAAGTCTGGAGTCGCATAGGGTCGATAAAGCATCTATGTAGCATCCATCAGCAAGATAGGCATCGACAAGCGCTAAAAGCAGACGTTTCGCCTTCCGTTGAGGCTGATAATCCTTAATGAGTTTCCTATTTTCTTCCTTTAGGAGCCTGAGAGCTTTTGCGGGCTTGTTCAGGTCACAATAGACATCTGCCAGTCGACACACGATATTGAGGCGGAGGGTCTTCACCTGCTCTGCATACATTGGCGCCTCAAACAAGGTGCCCTCAAAACAAGTCTGAGCCGATTGATGGCGACCGTGAACTATGAATATCTTTCCCATGGTGATACTAATGTGGGGTGAAAGAAGGCGACCCATCTGACAGCGTGGTTGGAAGGGCCGCGCTGTAGCCTCGAGTAACGCGCGCGAATAATTCTCCTGTTGAACCAAATTCTCAAGGTGGGACCGCCATAGGGAATCCTCAACGGCCGCTAGTCTTTCCTCCATTCCTCCTTTAAATAGGTCGGCCATCTCTTTAGGCCTTCGATCATTGGCTGTGGCGATTGCAGTACGTCGTTCGTTTTCATAAGCCTTGGTATCGCAATAATATTTGCTAATCGCCTCTTCAGATTTCTCAGGACTGGAATTCAGTCGATAAAGGTTGCTTTTTTGAAGGGCAACCAAGCCATGCAGATACCGAGGCAGATTACTATGCTCCAATAGGCGGACGGCAAGATCTAAAGCTTCTGCGAATGAGTGGTTCGACTGGACCACGGCAACGATGGCCTCTACTACGGCGCATTTGTCGCGCTCGGGGAGATCAGATGCTCTAACACGACGAGCCATTTCAATGAAGAACGGACCCAGATCCTTTCTAGTTTGATTGACCCTAGTAAAGTCAGCCATGTGGTACTATCTCGGACTTTGCAGTTTGGTTATACCCGGGTTCCCAGGCATTCTCTCGGGGAATCATCCAGCAGAGGAGTCTCAGTATATCGACATCGCTGATATCATTCAGAGCCTGAGGTTGGCTACTCTGAGCAATCTGCTCTTTTGTCTTCTTGACCCATTCTAAAGCCTCCTGACTAAGCCCAACATCTTCTAGCGTCTCCTCAATGACTTCGCCGCTGCTTGACCATCGTTTTTGACTCTCGTGCGCCAATCTGTTGAAAAATGTCTTGGGAGGCTCGATGTGACGTAAGCGTTGACCGACTTCCTGTATGTGTTCGATTATGACATGAATCGAATGACGCAAGGAAAACAATTTGTTTGGCGTAATGGAAATAATAACGATTCTCCCGAGGCGCAAACCTCCGTATTCGTGAGCTTGTACAAGTAGAGCGTTATATAACATGTTCCCGTAGAAGGACCTCCTTTCCCGTATTATCTGCGATTCCTGCCCATGTGCAACACGTTGAAGATACTCAAGATGGCTAGCTCGTCCCAGTGTTATGCGGATAAATTCATCTATGGTCTGGGAGTCTGACTTCAGAACGAAGTCAACGTGTTTATCAAGTTCAGCCATCAATTCTTTGCACTTTGCTCGAGCCACTTCGTCAATATTGATCGTTTCCTTCGCGACCGATTCGAGGTAGCCGCGAGAATTCTCGTACAGACTAGATCCCTCTAACTGGCTAAATGATCTCTTAGGCATGGTTCTCCAATAACAGCTGTCGCATCTGGCGGAAAAGGAGGCCTGGCATGAAGTGAGAGGAGCGGTCACAGCCAAGTAGTGAGCGGCTACGGAGGGCAATCAGTCAAGTGATGGGAGTGATCGCAACCAAGGTGTGAGCGGTCACAGCCAAGTGAAGAGCGGCTACAACCAATCAAGTGCTGGGAGTGGTCCCAACCAACTTAGTGAGCAGTCACAGCCAAGTGGAGAGCGGCTACAACCAATCAAATGGTGGGAGTGGTCACAACCAAGTTAGAGATGGAAGGCTGTCCTTGGCGGAAAAGTAAATAATTAGTAAAATTGGGGAACCCTCAATATGTCAACCATCAGCTCCAGCGCCCACTTCCTTTCGAACAACATGAGGGGAAACGTATGGCTGCTGATCGCTTCGTATGCATGCAGGACATCAAGGATGCCGCAAGGTACATTATCAATTTCCCTAAACTCTACTACTAGTATTTATCGTCCCTCATCTCCTCATCGCTTCTCTTATAGTATTTACTTCTAAATAAAGCTCTTTGTGACTAGCGTTCATGGTTGTTCTGGCATCCTCTTCTCGGAGAGAAGCACTCAGTCAGCCTTAATCAAGGCTCGAGAATTGGAGGTAACAAGAAACTAATCTGAACATCATTGTAGGACGGGAGGGAACCTTGACACTCTCCTCGACTTGCTGACGATTGCATGGACCATGTCTATCCCACGCGAGACCAACACCTCCTGGATTGTGGTACCACCTCTGGAAAGCCACGGCCAGGTGAATGCATCTCCCCTTGAGCGTATAGAGTACGAGGCAGCCCATTCATTACTACATTTCCGCGGAGACAGGGAATTGCCCCAGCTTGTTCACGGCGGTCGGAATGAGGAACCGCAGAGATTGATCCACTCCTTTGGCCACCGTGACACTTTGCTGTCTGGCCTTTCTCGACGGTCCAGAGTCCGTCGCGCGACACAGGTAGGTCACAAATACAGATCGATCGTTATTGTTCCTAACAAGCCTCCGACCATACCAGGCCTGTGATCAATGTCGAGTTCGGAAAGTAAGATGCGATGAGAAAGGGCCGAGGTGTACACATTGCGAGGAGTACGATCTGTCATGCGTCTACAAAATGCCGACTTATAAGTTAGTTGTTCTCCTCGCTCCCTGCCGGGTATTATGTATTTGTGTTGAGATCGGGACAGAAAGGACAGAGAGCTCCAACAGCTCCTGGATCGGATACGAAAGTTGGGCGAGAGCTTCGAGGAGCGTTTATCATCTGTGGAAGATGCGCAGGTCAAGCACAGCTTCCTGGTGATGAAGCTGAACCCTGGTGCCATTCTCAGAGAGCAGCCTCTCCAATACTTGCGCAAGGGAAACCTCCCCGGTACTTTCGAGAACAGAACGTTATCTCAAGGTGGGAATGATAGTAATATAAATCCAGGCGCCGACACCCTCAGCAGTAACCAGGTTTTCGTAACTGGCAGAAATAGCCAGTTAGCCTTTCCCGTCGAATTTATCACTACGGCTGAGAGGTTACTAATATGGCCTTCCATCAGGGAATTCCTACCTGAGGGGTATGACGACGATTATGTGACAGAGTTGGAAGAAAGTCACGGCCTCATCCGCGCCTACGGAAGTGGTGAAGGTGACGAGACCAGTGAAACTCCAAAGGCATTAACCACATCGACCGACCTCAGCACTGCCGTGGGAGAACAGTACATGTACCACCCCTCCATCCGCGAGCCATGGGGTGGCATCAACCAGCCGCAATCGAAGCTCGCGGATAATGGACTAGATGACGCTGGCTGGGTGACAGTCGGCCCGAGTGTGATACGTCGCTACTTGAACAGTTATATGGAGCACTTGTATAAGTTCCATCCATTCCTTTGCGACACAGAAATACAATGGAACGTTGAACGGTTCATCACGACATACTGTCCCAGCACCGAGGACCAGAAGCAGAAGAGTGGGAAGCGGAGGCGCTTGTGCGATGCTCGTCAAGATACAGGTTGCTATGCGGGATCTGCAGTCACCATCAGGCCTGGGTCAGGGCTCAGGAGGGTCGAAAAGTCAATTGACAATGCCATAGTCTTGCTGGTCCTTGCGTTGGGCAGTATCTGCGAAGTCCGGGACCGACCGGTCCCAGGTCCCATCGTGGATCACATCATTGACCTTAGGGAAGAACGGATCCCACAGACTCCGGGAACATTGTCGCGCAGTGTCCTTCCTCCCGGAGAAAGAGACTTGATAGTTGCCTCGCAAATTGATCGCTTCCGTTCTCATTTTATGGATAACGGTCGAAAGAGTACCATCATCGGGAACCATGATGTCATTCCTGGATTGGCGTTTTACGCCTATGCAGCCAGTATTCTTGGAATTTTCCAGGGCGTGAATAGTCTGCAGCATGTCCAGGCGGCATTGCTCGCGGGCCTGTATTCCGGCCAACTGGCTCATCCTTTCCAGAGCTATGGGTGGATCTCCCAGGCTGCTCGAGCCTGTCAGGTATTGGTTCGATCGTATGGTTTACCAGTCACTTCAATGTTGAGAAAAGGGCTAATCTGTACAGACAACGGTATCGGGAGATGCGTGATGGTGCTGTGAAGGACCTTTACAATTTTGCGTATTGGACCTGTTTCCAGCTGGAAAGGTAAGCTCATATCAGTATGATTTAATCGCAAGGCTTAATATCCAATCAAGTGAAATTCTGGCCCAGCTTAATCTCCCTAATAGCGGTATTTCGCTGTACAGAGATGATGTTCTTCTCCCAAGCGGTCGTTTCACTCTAAACCAGCGAGACATTACCACTGTAACGAGGATGATGTCTTTATACTCGGCGCAGATCTTCCTCCAGAAGACTCTTTACCACGTCCATACCGAGTTGTACAAAGTTGAAGGTAGGATTTCTACTGATGTAGGATAAGCAGACTTTAGTAATGGCAAACAGAACATGACCAGGGTTACTGGTCTTCCACTAAAGTGGATATCTTGAGCAGCATACTTGAGCAGTGGCGAAGTATACTCCCCGATTTCCTGAGATGGGAAGATGGGGATCCTCCATCGGACGATATCAAAGTTGCCAATATGCGGTCTGAGTATTATAGTGCCCGCTACCTTATTTACCGGCCTATCCTGTATTACGTTCTCCACCTCGCGCGACAACCAAAAGTCCCTGTTTCTGGTGCCGTAAAGTCCTGCTCGAAGTCGCAGCAGGTCGCTCTTTCGATTACACAAAGCCAGAGTGCTACCAGCATGGCGCGCCTGTCCAGCGAGGTTCGGCCTGCGCTAAATCCGCCGCCCTCGGATCAGGCCGGAGGTGAGGGTCCGTATACGTACCGCGAGCTACCGTCGGAACTGCGTCATGCATGCAAAATTTGCATCGATTCTGCGATTTTAAGCACGGAGGCTTTTGATGGCATCAATGGTCGACCAGTGGTCACTAATATCTTTGGAATGGGTCATGCGTATGCTGAAACTCCGTTCAAATAGTGTATACCTGTTAATCAGATGGCAGACGATTTGGTAAAATGCTGGTTCTGTTAGCAACCCATAATTCCCGCCTATCAGAGTTAGTGGAGCGAAAAGCCCTCCAGCGGCTTCTTCAGGGAGCAATCAAATCCCTACTGCAGAGTCGTTACACCTCTCCTACTCTGCGAATCAACGCGGAAATCCTCGGCGATGTTTACGAAAGGGTTTTCGGGGAGCCCGCTACTGTCTCACAAGTAGGGACGTATTGATCTTCCTTCGCTCAGTGCAACGAGAATTAGTTAGCTTCCCACCGATGATTTTCGGCTCAACGAGCTGTACACAGACAAACCTTCAAACTTGGCAGTTTTGGGACAGCGGAACTAATCAGGAAACGCCAGGTAGTCTAGTCGCAATACGCTCAAGGACCAGACGGTATCAAGTGACCGGAACCATAGAACACCAAAAGCCACATTATACATTCCAGATAGCTCAATGTTGAGGGCACTTGGCGTTTTATCTTCTTCGCGTAGAGGATGATGGTGGTGGTGGTGCCCCTGGTTATTCTAATGCCCGTAGTATCATAGGCTCGCAGGCAGCGTGATAGGACTGAAGGAAACATTACTTCAGCATTGAAAGTTAACCGTGTCAATTTTTTTTCTTCATATTTCTTTGTATGAATAGATATGGAGAAGACTCACAAGTAGAAGGCAGATCTTGGTGACGTGAAGGGCAAGGCAGCTGAACTGAATGAGAAAATTGAATCATGTAAACTGCGTCACTCATCAACTTAAGCTATTTAGGCAGAGAAATCTAATAAGTATTATAGCCGTTCGTTGAATGGATTGGACAGACGGCTACAATCCCCCCTTAGATCAACGGAGGAGGCAAATCTCAAGCATCGCGTAACAAGTGCATATTCTACTTCAAAGCTGGGATCCCGTTCAGTAGAAACTGACTGCACACGGAAAATAACAGGAAATGAATTGACCTAAGGAAGCTGGCTTATTACCTAGTATTACTAGTCTCTGGCTTCAATAGGCTGTGAGTCCGTTCTAGCTAGTGCTCCATAGGCTAGTCTCGACCCCACTGCCCATCGATGACTATCCAGGATTTAAGTTGGCTCAAGAAGCTAACCCCCTGTCCAATCATCGTATGTATCATTATGGAGGGCCTAGTTGATAGTGACATGTCCCTACCACCGATAGTACAGTAGAGCGTAAATAATGGTTACTGGAATTTCGAATTCTTTTCGGTTGTTGAGGGCGCGAAAGTGCATCATTTGAGGGCCATGATTGGATGAGGCGAAACTTACTAAAGTTAGACAGCGTGGTCGCGTTGAGGAATGAATGGCATAAGGTAGTTTAACACGTAATTGTGAGGCGATATCTAAGCGCAGAGACCAATGAGCCAGTATTATGTGCGCCTCTGAAAATGATGCAGTTCAATACATTTACATTGCGGACCAAAATACATCAGAAACCCACATGTCTAATCTCTATAAACCCTTGGGGGTGCTCCCTGAGGCAATGACGCAGCCACCCAGAATAATCTCGGAGGTCCCTCCGACACCCCTCCACCGGACATTCAAAACTCGGTTCAATCAATCTTTCCCTGACTTGGGTGGTTTGCTTGGTACCTTGGCCGGGAGAGATCGGCTGAGATGTTCTAGCAGGACCTCAGTTTAAACACACGATCATTCAGTAGTATAAGATATTATTGATAACAGGATCATTACCTCGTATTATTCTCAATGTCGGTATCACAGGGTTCCATGTCAATCGGAAGAGCAACCGTATTTAATAGGTTGGAAATGTTGAGCTGCCAGGGCTTTGACGACATTTTATGGGAGGCGCAAAGGGCAGGGTAAATAGACTTAACTAGCAGTGAAAGATGCTAGCTCTCTGCGATGTACATGCAGGTAAGAGGATGCTTTTATTTATAGATTGCTAAGAAGAATCGCTGAAGTGTTGCGAAATCAAATGGCCCCATACTCTGTATAACTGAATAAAAAACATAACGCCGCCATGTTCAAGGGGATGTGAAAACATGTAGCGTTGAGTGCCTAGCTGTATTGCCTCCTCGAAAGAACTACATGAGTCCAGACCAACCACAACTGAACACTATTAGCTTACGTAATTTCTAATCTCTACATTGACGTAGCAGGCGCGTATAACACCGCCGGAGTCAGAGAAGTAATAAAAGAAAAAGGGAACAGGTCCAGCGCCTCCACTGAAACGGACGGTCGGGCCGAATTGGCCAAATACATTGACGGCACGTCAGACGCACCTCGAATATATCTGTTAAAGAGGAACTCACGTTGTTAAGACACTGGAACGTGTAGGCGTACGAATTGAAGTTGAACGATGTCGATTGAAGACATACGTCGTAGTTAGGCAGGGCCTGTCTGCGTTGTTTCTTGTGGACTGAACATATTCGGATTGTCTCAATCGGGTCGAGCAAGGGGTGGCCGCCCTGGCCTGTAGGCTCATTTTTGATGAGCCCCACTCAGCGACAAGTGCGGGTCTGCCTGCGACGCCATTCCCTCTTATTGAATGACCTAACTAATTAATCAAAACTCTGACCGGGGGTGACGCATCCATCAGAGGCGCCCGGAGGCGCGAGTGAGCCCAACAACTGACTGCAACCCTCCATAAGTGGAGACCATTCTTCCGGGATTTCCAAAAGTGTTGGGTACCGGTGTATCGAGTCCGGTATGGAGAATACCTCTTCCCAGGTGATATGATCAAGCCGAGACATTACATTCAGGAGGGTAATCCAGATACCTGGCTTTCTCAACGATAACTCTATCCAATACAGCTTTTTACCGTGCCTAATAGTGTTGATTAACCGTGACGTTTTGGGTAATCCGTCCGCCCGGATAAAGTCCTCTAATGTACCACCTCTCGAATGATAGCGCCGAATGAGATATCGTACAGCAAGAGCACGAAGAAACCATTTCCTTAGGTCAGTACCCCGGTCCACGGTGAGAAATGCCAACCTCGGATCTTCACCAGCGGGACAAGCTGCTAGAATAAGACCGGTCGGATCCAGGTTCGTAAAATACTCCAGGATCCGGGAGGTGTAAGGTATCGCACTACGGAGGAACGCGTCCGCAGTGTCCGAGCGATGGTTGCCTGCCATTACTAGCCTCTCTTGCGGGAAAAAGGAGTCGGCTAGAGTTGCCTGGGTCTCTGCTTTGACCAGCCCAGGTGGCACTGTTCGCGAGAGGAATCTCGAGGCATTGTACGCTCCTGCAACGAAAGGGAGGCAGTATTGGTCAATGTGTAGGCCAATGATATCCACCGACACTCCCATCCACATCAGGATGCCGTTTCCGTTACCTTCCTCTATCCAGAGCCCGCCATGTGCAATAAAGATCTGATCAGCACGAATTCGTATTTCAAGAGTGCTGATTTGACTGTCTCGCAGCTCATTATCCGTTCTGATCCCTTGGGATCCGGGATAGACTTTGAATAGACCGTTCTCAGCCCCGAGGCCCCCTCTAATAGGCCTCCAGATGGAGATCCCCTGGACGCAGGGATGTGCCCTCCGGGGTCTAGTACCCGTGGAATTTGGGGCTAGCTTGTGAATGATTGGTCCTTGCCGGACCAATCCTTGAGCCGTACCAAAGTGCCTAAGAAGAACAATATCTAGCTGCATGATTGGGTTAGAAGTTATGAAAACTTCGGCCTATGCTGACACATACGTTGAAGCCATGCTCCATAGCTTGCTGCCACTCCTGTTGATGATCGGCAGAAGTCAAGTGCTCCGCTGAATCTGGACGGTCAGGATGCCCAAGTGCATTCTCTTCAACAGACAAAGAATGTACAGGAGATTTTTCAGTTATTACCCCACTATTAATATATTCATACCCCTGTTGGTCCATGTCCACTTCATGGTCGTTGTGCGTATATTGTTCGAGCAGGTCATAGCTCGACTGCGGGGATGATCGGGCTTCCAGCTTGGCAGAGTTTGAGCTTATGTAATACGGTCCAGGGAGGAGGATGAGACAATCAATGACACATTACCAGTCACAGACTTTAGAGAGGTGGCCTAGAACAGGACATATGCTGGGTCGCTTAGAAACCACCTGACAACACAACCAATAGAATGTGATCAGCTGCTTGGTATTGCGCAATTCCTTGGGAGACTGACAAGCCCCCGTCCACCTCCCTTTATCCGTGTCCGGAATAGTTCAGTGTGGTATGCTCATTTCAGAGCACAGTATTTCGGAGATTGCATGCAGGCGGAGAGACCGAAGAACGGATCATCCACTGTCGAAACGTATCACAACTGCCCAATCATGAAGGGCCGGGAAGAACTTCGCCTGCGGTTGATCTCAAGCCTTCCATGGCTCAGGCCTTGTCCAGGATTCCCTGGCAAAGCTCCCCTGTGTCATACGTCTCAGTATGCCCCGGCGTATTGTACTTTTATCAAGATGCGGAACTCCTGAAGAGAGGATCATGCTTTGGCCGTCATAGTCACTGTACATATGATGCGCTAGTCTTGCGCAAGCGCACACCGTCATTTGGCGGACACTGCATTGCCTCTGTTACGCTGCTCTAAACTCGCTTGGACCATGGCCTACAACTTCTGCAGTGGCTACCGGAGTCCGCTCTTGATGACAGTAAGTTCACGCGGCTACTCGTCCACTGTATGCTCATGGGAACGGTAGGACTCGTCCCAGCGATTGTCCTTAGGCAGTCTATTATCTAAAGCCCCCTCTAAGGCCTCTGACCGCGTGCCCTTCTATACGCTTCCTCCCTCGTCTGCATTGAGAAACAAATTACTGCCCTATGAGGGGCTCGCTACACTGCCCTCCGGACCAGCAAGCCCCGTCTTGACGTCTTCGCCTCGACCAGCGCTCGAAACGTATCACCATCCACGGTGCTCGAAAGGTCCTCCCAAGACTACACTGTTTGAGCGTAGTCGGCATTATAATGAGAACGATCTGAGTGAACCGGAACTCCCCATTCTCTCAGTTTCCCAATACGAGCCTCTCGCCAAGTCCACTATTGAACTCTTGTACCTCAACCATATGAAACTGTCCATATGGCCTCCACGCGATATCTCCGCCAACCGCATCACTGTTCGCAAGTTTTGTAGACGGCGACGGGATGAAGAAGACCTGATAATCGAGTTTCCACAACCAATGAATTTTGTGAGCTGCCTTCTCCTCAAGGACATTCCATTACGCAAAGCCCTCCAGCCCTTTGTTTTGCTGGCTCTAAGGAGCTTTTATGAGCCATACAGGAGCTACAGGAGCCGAATCCGTCTTTCAGAGCTTATTCATCACCTCTTGAAGGACCTCACTGATCTTTATTTTCTCGTTCTTTCTCTTCATGCTTTAAACCTCAACATGTCTGCTTGCCGTTTTACATATCCTGGTGGGAGGCTAATTGGATCGTCGCCAACTGAGCGATCCTCGCTGCGGAAGTTGATCCAGGAACAGCGACCGAATCCAAGTTGGGCCTATTATATGAAGAGATATCCACAGATGGGTGGCTTCAAAAAGGATGAGTTGGAGTCAGCAGCCGTGAAACTTCCAGGGAACCTGATCTTTGTATTTCGAAGTTATGCTGAGGGAGCGTGAGAGTCATGCAATAGTGGGTTGTCTGGCCTCAAGAGATACACACAGGCCATGTTTTCTTGGCCCCCCTACTTGCTTGTTCCTTCACGTCCTGAAAGCCATGTACTTATGTTAGCGATATCTGTTATTTCCACTGGCCGCACCCCTTCATCGTCTCATTCCACAACTCAACGCCTTAATTACCACTTGTAACACGCCAGGTGCGAGGTAGCGATGTGGCCACTAGAACAACATACTTCTTGGCCTCTTCTAGCGCTGCCTCTCGCTCCTTCTGCTGCGCCGCCATCTCCGCCTGATGCTTCTCGCGCTTCTGCTCGTACCTGGCTAGCGCAGAATGTGCCTTTTTGACGGTGCCTTGGCTGATTCTTCCCAAAGGTGTTTTTTGATTCTTCTGAAGGCGATTGACTGAGATCCAGCGAAGGCAATGCCTATTCAGCGTTAAGATAACATGCAGATGGCTTCTCGAGAGCCTCAATGAACACACACGCCAACTACTCAGAGGGTAGAGCGTTTGACCCATGCGCTGATTCCTTGTCTAGCCACTATTCCGCATACATGGCATCCCCATGATGTTTAGTCGGGTCATCGACGATGTGTAGAATCTCGCTCGCGGGCAGGTCTTGGAAGATGTAAAAGGGCACGGCAATTGCGAGAAGAAATCTTTCTTGCAGAGTAGCAAATGGAAAGAGGTATAACGGACAGATACTGCACTTAACGGGGTATCTGAGCCATGCAGGGCATTAGCGAGAGCAAGGAGAGACGGGATCAGCCTGGAAACATCAAGTCAGGAAACTAGCCTCTTTCTCAGGAAAAAAAAAAAAAGCATCCATATACCTGCACACTATTGATTTTACCTTTCAGCTTTATGACAAGGTATTGAGCAAAGAAGACGAAAAGACTCTTCTGTCTTCTTTGTTTGGCGTATCTTCTAGTGCTGCCTGTCAAAGGAAATTGCATGTCTTACGCGTGCAAATACCGGTCTGTGCGTCTTCCGAGTCTCTTCTATACATTTAGCTCTCTAATCCTCTTAATAAAGTAGGAAATAATGATGTCTTCCCAAACACCTATCTGGTAGTCTACCAGACCTTTCTCTTCGAGATCATCACAGAGAAGTATAAGAGTGTCCTCCAAGTCCTCAAGTAGGTCAATGTCTG